CCAAACCGATCTATACCCTGTTAAAGAAGAACGTGACCTTTCAATGACCTTCTAATGAGCAGAAAGCTTTCGAGAATTTGACTAAAATTATCTGCGAATCACCCATACTTCAATACCCAGATTTTACCAAAAAGTTTATCGTTACTGTGGATGCATCTGATTTTGGATGTGGAGCAGTACTTAGCCAAAGTCCCATCGGGCAAGATCTTCCAGTCGCATATGCGTCCAAATTGTTTGGTCCTGCCGAAAGAAATTATGCGATGATTGAGAAGGAGCTACATGCAATGATATTTGCAGTACAGCAATTTAGGCCTTACCTGTATGGCAGGAAATTCAGCTTGGTCACTGACCACCGACCTCTGGTGTGGCTTCATAATTTGAAATATCCAACGTCCAGGTAAGTTAGATGGAGACTCCAGCTTAGAGAGTATACCTTCAAAGTACAGTACAAGCCTGGTCAGGTGAACTCCAACGCGGATGCCCACTCCAGAAATCCCGTTGCTCCTGATGTGGTGGAAGAAAGCGAGGCGGTGAGCCAGGAAAAGATGGATGTCTGCGCAGACTCCCCATCGGTTCTTGATTCACGAGCTGAGTTATTTTCGATTGAAGAAGCCATCTCGAGCGTATTCCTCGTTTCCCATGACACTGAGAAAATAGTACAGTCATTGAAAATGAGCACAAATTGTAATGAAAGTGAGACGGAAAGATTTATTGAAGGTATTTTTATAAAGAGAAGTGGTAGGTACTGAAGCTGGCCGGCCTAATTGGGGTGACGTCCCTGGGTCCAAGTACGGCAGTACAGAGGTTGAGATAGTAGGCGAGGAAGCTGGCCTACCAGATTAGGGTGACGTCCCTGGGTCCGTGTACAGCAAGACAGAGGCTAAACGCATAAAAGCTGGCCAGCCCGATTGGGGTGACATCCCTGGGTGTGAGTACGGCAGCATAGTCAGTCCTTCTGAATGTAGAAGGTGATATATGAGAGAGTGTTCCTGATGGCGTTTAATTTGATAAAATACATCAATGATCCTCTGTTTATGAGTAGCGATCATTTAATTAACTTCATTACTGCTGATTGCGACTTGAGTACTGATATTAATAAGGAGTTCATAGACCGTGGGTATGTAACAGTCGAGGGTTTATCTAAGCTGAATCCGTTGGTAGGACAAGCCATTTGTTTTAAAACGAGAGATGGATTTTATATTTTTAATTTAGTTGTGAAAAGCTCGGCCAACGAAGAATCATCTATTCAGAATGTACAAACCTGCATCAACTGTCTCAAAAGGGCCATGAAAACCTACATGGTAAAATCTGTTCGTATGTCACGGTCTGACAATGGACTCGATGACATTTCCTAAGAGACCATTGAGAATACTCTGGTCGACACCTTCTCAGGAAGCGATTATCAGTTCACCGTTTGCTCTAATGAGCTCCATTTTTCTGACGAGGCCGAAAGGGAAATATTGATTAGAGAATATCATGATTCGCTGAGTGCAGGACATCAAGGGTGGAGAAAAATGTATGCAAAAATTCGGAAGATACTAGAAGACTATGACAAACAACATAGTCAAATACGTGCAATCGTGCAAGACTTTTCAAGAGAACAAGGTTACTCGAGTGAAGACTCGCCAACCGATGGTTATCACTGACACTCCTCAAGCTGCACTCGATAAAATTCAAATGGAAATTGTAGGTCCATTACCCATAACCGACTCAAACAATAGGTATTTACTTACAATTCAATGTTGCCTCAGTAAATATGCTGATGCCGTCCCCATTCCTAATACGGAAACTACAATAGTCGCTGCAGCCCTGGCCGAACAATTTATTTCTCGGCATGGCTGTCCAAAAACGATTCACACTGACCAAGACAGCAACTTTTGTAGCAAATTAATGAAAGCTCTCTGTAAGATCTTCAAAATTGATCGTATTACGTCAACTGCGTTTCATCCTCAATCTTTAGGCTCTCTTGAGCGAGCACATTATTCTTTCGTAGAGTATCTTAGACACTTTTGCACAAAACAAAATTGGGATCAATGGATACGGTTTGCCATGTTTTCATATAACACCACTATCCACTCTGCACATAATTTCACACCACATGAAGTTTTCTTTGCTAGGGAAGCCCGAATTCCATCCTCCTTTGCTAAACAGACACCCCCAAGAACATATCATGACGTGGTAGATAGTCTTCTTCAACGTTTGAATTATCCTCAAGCAAGAGCCGCTGAAATTCTTAACAAATCTAAAGAAAATTATAAAAGAATTTATGACTACAAGTCCAATGCTAAAAGCTTTCAAGTAGGTGATAAGGTATATTTACTTAAAGAACCACGTAACACTAAATTTGATAAGTATTGGCTAGGGCCATTTGAGATAGTAGAAGATTATGACCAAATCAACTATAAATTGAAATTGAACTCGGGATATAAGATTGTCCACGCGAACAAATAAAAATCCGCTTCTATAAGAATAACCTAACATTTAGACTAATTACATTGTAAAAAGCAGTTCAATATATAGTTCTAACAGTCAATTAATTGCAAATCTACATCGCGTAAACTCCTATTTATTCTAAAACTCGTTATATCCCGGTTAACCCATGAACGCCGAAAAAGCCAAAAATCTTAACTTTACTTTGCATTTATTTTTGAAGTACAACATCAAGAAATAGTCTAAAAATTACTTACTTTATGTTTTTCGGGTCGTTCTACAAGATTCTAAAGTTAAAATGATGATTAAATTTCAAGAAAAAAAAATTTGGCGACTTATTTCGAAAAAAGCACTGAAAAATTTGTCGAGAAAAATTTTAAAATCAAATTTTCTATCAAGATAGGAGGGTTTTATTCAACAAAAATGAGCACAAGTTGCACAAACAATTCAAACTTTCGAAATATGACATATAAAAATTAAAAATTCCAAAATTTACTGTAACGGGGTTGGGTTGCTACCGTTTAATTAATTTATTCGGACGATCGTGTAGACGAACGCGCGTAATTACCTATGTCAAACACGGAAGTCGGGGAGCAGGAGGGAATGGGTGTCAGTCAACCAACAAATCTACTAATACGGAATAAACACGTCAAAAGTACTGGTTAATATTACAGACGAAAACTCTTTATTACTTCTGAATGTTACATTACATTCGGCCCGCGTGTTTATGTTTACATACCGCGCTCGCACGGCAACGACATACAGTGTCGGAACGCTCGCCGCTCTTTGTCCGCAGAGCTATTACATGCACGCTTTGCTTCGAGTACGGAAAATTGGTTATCAGGCATGCAATCGCGATTGCGAGATTAAGCTGGCCAGCTTACCTTAATGACGAGTGTTCGGCAGCGAACGAAACTTAGCACACACAGCGCGTTCGAATAAAGTCTTTTGTTCTCCCTTTCTTTTGGGTCGCGAACTTGCGCGCGCACGGTTTCGCCCTCGATGGCGAAACACTTCACACACACTCGCGGTGGTAGGGGAGGACACCGTGTCTGCAGGCTCTGGTCAGCACTCTCTGGATAACCCGACGACAACAATCACTCGATTTCTGCGGTGCGTTCAGGCGATCAGGTTGAGTTGAGCTCTCCGCGTAACTCGGAGTACTTGTTATGAATTTGTTAGAATTTTTCACACCGGTATTTAGTAGATTGTTATCGTTGTCTAGTGCTTATACATAGAAAAAATCATCGTGCAAATCTTAGCATCCCGTATATATCATTACACGTTTGTATATTCTCATCGCTTTCAGGTTCAAATATCGTTATAAAATCTGCTTTTGTACGATCACCTTGAAGACGCTTAAATGAAAATCCTATTAACTCCACGTTTTCACAGTAACTTACGTCCTTGTAGGAACATTGAGTCTAAAAGTATATACCAGGGTTTTCGATCGTTGACATAAAAAGAGTTAAGTGACGTAATGTACGGAACAGTGGTTCATAGCAGATTTCGACATGGATTCTACGAAAGTTGATGCGATCTAACTTAACAATTTACGAGATCTCTCCAATCTCGTGATCATATGAAGTGTCGTGTTATCCGATGACAATGCAAGGATGTGAAGAACAGCGTGTCGCGTGTACGCGGAAAATAAGTAGTTCGGTAGGTGCAAAAATACTAATGAATAACAAAGCAAATTAATTTAATAAGATAAAATAAAAATAAAAGAGGCTTATACAAGAATTAGTAAGTTAAGGAGAAATTAAGCATTAGCGCTATGAAATAGAAAGAGAAAGAAAGACACAAGTTTGTAAGTATTGGGTCACCGATAGTTACAAACAGCTCGCGGTAAATGAGCACTGGATGGCGGTAACCGTTTACTACTCTTGATATTACTGCAGATACAGAAGAGAATCGTAAACAGTACAGGAGGCGGAAAGCTACAAAGTCAGTATGTTCCAATCGCTCGATAATAACGGCATTGCGCACGACACAATGCTTTCGCTTTCTCTCTCATTCACACGAATCAAAGCTCACGTTTTCGTCTCTACCATCGGCAAAATTATCGGCGTATGAAAAATAGGACAGATTGATATGCAAGTGTCTGTTAACTATCGCTCATTAACTTAAAGAGGGCTCTGTTCTCTTCCTTATCTCTTATCTGTAGCCCCTTCTAAAAGAAGAAGACAATATTATATTACAAATTCATGGAAATACAAATATGTTATGAATAATAAATTATACATATATCATGAGAAGGTGGGACCAAAATACATAATGAGGAGCAATCTCTTTCGTTATGTAACGAAAATGCGTGCAAGTGCTTCATTCACTTGTTGCAGGTGGGCAGAAGATTCCCTTTCTATTTGATTTAAATAAATAAAAAGAAATTTTATTAGATTATTTCTCTTGCAAATTAAGGCACGCTAAATAAGAAATAGATTCTTAACAATTAGTTTGCACAGTATTTTGAAAAAAAGAAATTATTTTATTGTATAAACATGAAAATAATGAGATACTTTTAAAAGTTACGTCCATTTTTCCTGACTAATACCAATTATTCTTTCTAGCAAAATCTCACAGTAACTAATAATAGTGAAACAAGTGCCGGAAATGTTTCTGTAGGACTTCAGAACAATATCCCTGCCACTCATGAAAGTGAGCATCATAGCAATAAAAAACAGGAAAAGTTCAAAACGCAATCGACACCGCATTCTTTAGGATCTACAGAAAATCGAGGAAGTCATGCTAAATTTAGACACGGTTTGCTTCAGTTGATGATTCATACCATAGATCCTCTTCACGACGGTCAGTCACGTGCTGGTACATTTCTCTCAATTTTTTCTATACTTTAATATAATATTATATTTTGTTACGAGAAGAATTCAGGTGATTTATGTACATAGCTGTAGTATTTACTTATCATTGATATATTTATCTATTGTCTTTTGATATTACATCATATATATGATGCATCAGATTTTTGAACTAAACAATTCAATACGTCAATTGATCGAGAAATATGTTATATTTTATTGGGCAGATGTACTCAAAGAATAATAGATTTGTTAAAGAATAATATGCCATAAATAACAAAAGAAATTAATTATTGATTTATATCAACTTGTGATTTGTTAACTAATTTAGCCATTATAATAAAGAATTTTTCCAGTTGACAATGTCACAGGTACTACAAGGTAATCTAGTAATTAAAACATACCTATTATTACAAAGTAAATCAAACAAAAAATGGAATTTTTCTATTATAATAAAAGTACTTTATCAATTAGTAGGAAAATGTTGAAATAGATTCAGATTCTTATATTTGGCACTAGCACATTCTTTTTTAACAGATATATGGTAATATTAAAATTACAATAAAATAATACTGAGATGTAAGGAAAAGTTTCAAATTACTAATGTTGCGAAGATTGAATAAGTTAGCATTAGCTGTTGGAATATTTTTATCATTTAGTTTGAAAGGCTAAAATGATAAAACGTAGTTTTCCAATTTATTTGCAGTTTTGACTGTCTATATATAACTTGTGTTCAGAGGTAGCATTAAATACTCATATAATTCTCACCTATGCGAAAACTCATCCAAGTACTTTCTTCTCCTTTTAGAAAATGAAGCAGATGAATTTTTTGAGTATTCGTTGCAGTAACATGTGGCAGAAGCCATTCAATATGCATTATATGTATCTTAAAGTTTTCTAAGATTTTTTCTAAATTCTCATTTTATTTTCTGGCAAACAATATTTAAATTACTGTTCAATCATATAAAAACTAGTTTGTGTTTCATGTTTATTAATATTGTATGATAATTTTCAGCAAAACAGAGAATGAAGCTCAAAAAAATAGGAGCGTTGATGTATCCTACCTTGTTCATTATATTCTGTAATCCAATTCCAACTTGGATTTCAGTAATAGCTACTTTTTAATGACAATTGTTATAATAAAGTTTCTACATTTATCGATTTTTATGACATTTAATTGCTATCTAATTTCCTTAACCCATTAACGTCCAAAATGTCAAAATTTCTTGCACGTTTTCAAAGTGATTTTTTCCTATGTAATTGGCGTTAAAAAAATTCTTGAACCACATATTCTGATGTAAAATTGCATGCTCTTTCAGAATCCGTTGCCAGAATCATGATAAAACTCACAGGAAAAGAGATATGCTCGATTGAAACATAAAAAACACCTAAATTTTCGAAAAAAAAAATTTTCAGAATTTTTTTTCGAAGTGTTACGGTGAAGATATCACCTTGCGACCGTGATCAAAGGTGATCATGGGATTTGAAGTATAACAGGAAATTTTTTTGTTTACCTTGAACCATCGCTTCTTTACAAAATGGCGGAAAAAACGAATTTTTTTTTTTTCAATCTTCATCAACTTTTTTCTCAAAATCTATGGTCTTTAGAAAAAAATTCATAAAAACAAAAATGTCTTAGAATCACTCGAGAAATATCCTAAAATTTTTTCAGAATTTTTGGAGACATTTTTGAAAATTCCATTTCCCAAGTTTCCCGAAAAATCAAAAATTGTCTCAAAAAATTCTGAAAAAATTTGAGAATGTTCCTCGAGCGATTCTAAGGCATTTTTGTTTTTATGAATTTTTTTCTAAAGACCATAGATTTTGAGAAAAAAGTTGATGAAGATTGAAAAAAAAAAAATTCGTTTTTTCCGCCATTTTGTAAAGAAGCGATGGTTCAAGGTAAACAAAAAAATTCCCTGTTAAACTTCAAATCCCATGATCACCTTTGATCACGGTCACAAGGTGATATCTTCACCGTAAAATTTTTTTTTTCGAAAATTTAGGTGTTTTTTATGTTTCAATCGAGCATATCTCTTTTCCTGTAAGTTTTATCATGATTCTGGCAACGGATTCTGAAAGAGCATGCAATTTTACATCAGAATATGTGGTTCAAGAATTTTTTCAACGCCAATTACATAGGAAAAAATCACTTTGAAAACGTGCAAGAAATTTTGACATTTTGGACGTTAATGGGTTAAATATATGACAAATAGCGTTGTTAACGGAGACAGTATCCGTTAAAATTACATTATATTTGTTACATAATCAGCCACAAATACGTAGTGAACTTCGACATAATAAATGATACAAGACTTTATGTTCAATTGATATGCAAATTTCGTCACTATTTTTAAAGAATGAATTGATGTATGATTGACGAGTGAATCTCGTAATGAAATAAGGATTTATCGAAAATCACAGGACATTATATTTCAAAAACATTCTTCATTAATCCTTTGGAAGCAACAAAAGATAATTCAAGTTTGTAACGAGCTGTTTATATCTTTAGTTATCTAATGGTGACCTTGATCATGAGGTTGACCATGACCTTCAAGGACGTTCAGAGGTCACGGTGATTTATTTAAAATGAATTTCCGTACTTTTCATCCATGGAATGAAAGAAGCACAATATTTTACGTTCAAATATGACCTTGATTATGACCGTAATCATTACCTTCAAAGATATTTAGAGGTCAATGTTACTTTTTAGTATGGAACTTCATAGTATTTATCCATGAAATAAAAAATATTGAAGTTAGATATGATAAATCTTTCATAATTATGATTTTGTATTTAGTGATTAAAAGAATTTTTTTTAGAAATCTTGTTACTCTCTCTATTTAAAAGAGAAAAATTTACATTTTACAGCTTCTCCTTTAATTTTTATACTTACTTTTTAACATAGTTTTGAGTTTTTATAATTAGTAATAGTAAGATTTAATGAGAGGCGGGCTCTGGTCAATTCTTGACTTGCCAGTTCAAACGTTAACTAACAAAGCCGACATTATGCTTCTCGAACAACGGGACTATCACGTCAATGCTTCAGCAGCAGCGCTATAACAGTTCCGACTAATAGGCAGCTCTGACTCGAAGGTGGGGAAAGTGATAGCCGTCCTTTGTCACAACCACTCATCACTTTATACACTTATGCACGAAAATACAAAGGAATAAAAGTACAGACATAACCCGAGAAATAGTTGTGATCAGAGAGGTTGCAGAGGCTGCATGTTGAATTGTATTGTATGTAGAAGTACAAATGTGATCGCCTTAAGTCTCATATGTACGTCAAGGCGAAGAAAGTCATAAGAGAGTCGACAAAACGGAAATGAAAGGGGACCGAACACAATCCAGACGAACCAATGAATAAAATGCGGACAGTGAGGACGTGTAAAGACGCGGTACATATCAGGCTTGAAAAAGAACTGACTTACGCCAACGCACTGCGATGCTTAAAGTCAGGCGTCGACTCGGACAACGCCAAAGCACGGATTCAGGGTTGTCGCACGACGAAAGACGGTGAACTTTTCTTATGACTAAAAAGCAGACCAACAAAAAACGATACTTTCAGGAGAAACTGAGACAGACCCTGGGTGGAGATGACACTGTCAAGCATTTGAATACAGCTACGCAACTGGAAATTTCGGACCTAGACAACGTGACGAGCGTACAGGACATAACGGACACACTGACACACGAGACAGGCGTCAGCCTAGATCAAAAGTCTCACATCTTTGGACCTAATAAGCATGACATTTGCTTGACTGTAGTAGAAGTAGAGGATAGGCTAGCTCGGACTCTACTTCGAAAAAGATGAATTAATCGGGTGGACCGACTGCCGCATCAGACCCAGACTGACGGTATCCAGGTACTAGTTTCCTCGGGTACGGAAATAGCAGAAAGGACTGCAAGATCCCGGTGGTGTCGGACGTGTGGATTGAAAGACCACAACAGTAAGACGTATGAGATGAGACAGATGAAGTGTTTCCTCTGCTCTGATTCGGGACTCAAGGAATTGGCGCACAAACCGGAATCTGCGGCGTGTGCCATCTTCATGGCCGCGCTTGAAGAGACAGATCAAGACATGATATGGGTACTTCAAGATAGGTAGTAGATAGGGTTACTAACGCAGACGTACTAATACTAAGCGAGCAGTTCCGGAACTTACCTACTTTGGACGGGTGGTTTTCGAACGCTTTGGATACGTTAGCTATCTGAGTAAGGGGCGCGCTGGATCGTCGCGTACTGGCCATCTCGACTGGAGAAGATTATGTTTAGGCAAGGGTAGGTGCTATCACCTATGTTAGCATCTATCTCATCCCGAACTATACGGCTAAAGATTTTATAGAAAAAGTAGGCATGCTGGAAGATGTCCTGAGAGATCTGCCGGGAGATCTTAACGTCGTACAGTGGGAATTTTCAGTTGTTTTTGTGTCAAAATCCCTTCTGCAGGCTAATTTTCACTTAAATTGAATAATTAAAGAAAAAATACTTATTATATTTTTTACTTTAAGAGAATGGTGCTACAAATCTGAAATATTTCACCTTCTGAAAATAGCTGCTATGACAGCGCACTATTTTGGGAAAAACGTTTTTCAAAATCGAGTAACCAACTTAAATCAACTTAAATCAATCGAAGTCTATCCTCAAATATATTTTATAGTTGCTTAATTGAATAAAGCTCCACATTTTTTTTAAAATCAATACATAATCTAAAATTGTATCGTAAATGTCTTCTCTACTACAACGATAATGTAATTTTATCTGAAAGTTTTTATTAATAGGAAGTAAACTGGTAAGTAAGTTGAAACGAAGTATTCTCTGAAAATTACATATACAAACACACACAATAATCAAATAACCTAAATATCCAGTTAATTGGTTATCGGTTATCAGGTTATTTAGCTGAATTTCAGGTGGTTACCTGATTTTGAAAAGATTTTTTCAAAATAGCGTGATATCATTAGCGGCTGATATCGGAAAGTGAATTCTTTAGGATTTTATCAC